GCTGCAGCACCCCCGGAGCGGGCAGCCCCAGCCCGGCAAGGCAGCAGGGAGCGGGGGTTGGCATTTCTCCCTCACCGTATTGATTGACATTTATAAAGCATTGCGTAGGAAACCCAGACAAACATCCACCCTGCTCTGTAAGCAGGTGGAATCCTCCCTGTGTGCAAATGCCCACATTCCAACCCACCCTTCCATTGCCCCCACTAGATTCCACTCCGTGACGGCTCTATTCCATGCGCCGCACCACCGAGGTGGGAATCTGCAGCTACAAATACCAAATGTGCCCTGTTGCTGGGGTAACAAGCCGATGGTAGAGAGAGATAAATCCTTTGCTGCATTCACCTGCAACTTGGGAATCACCAATCTGATTTCTTGGGAAATGAGTTCCTGGAGGTTACAAAACCATTTTTGGAATATTTTTAGGGTACAGACTCCCACCAGCTTCAGGAAAGCTCCTGTAAATCTAAAATAATTTGCCAAAGGTGGGTAGATGTTTCAGAGCATAGATTTACAAAGAAAAGAGAGAATCCAGAGTGGAAGGGGCCCTGCCTTGCCATTGGGCCCCTTGGCACCAGTACAAATACATGCCCCTGCCAATGCCAGCATGCACAGAGCTCCTCGTTGCACTGCCCTGCATCCTTACCTCTTCCTAAGAACAGAGGATGTCACATTCCCTGATGACCCCACCTGGCATGCTCCCCAATTCTCCCACCCTGCCCGAGTATTGACGCACAGACTCCCCTCAGATGAATTCCTCCTGCCTGTCCCTATAGCCACAGATTTAGAATCCTACACCTTTCTCCTTTGCTCTACGTGGTCAAAGAACATCTGCATTCAGAGCGCTACAGCCATAGCATGAGGGTTTGGGGCTTTTTACGTATTTAGCACATAAAATACTGTTTGATCCTAGCAACCTGCATAATTAACACATAACTGGAAAATAATTCCTGTTGGCAGATCGCAGATGGATGAACTAGAATGAGAAGATGGAGACAGGGGATGTGTCTTGGAGACCACAAAGGTCTGTGGAGAAGCAACACATTCTCTCAGCACGCTAGGGAAGGGAAGCTAAATCCACATGGCAATAACTGGAACAAAAGCAAGACAAGTGACTGGAAAAGGGCAAAACGCGAAGGGAATGCTAGAAAAACAGAAAGAAGGAAAATAAAGGAAAGCGATGACAGGAGGCAGATGGAGAAAGTAGACAGAGAGGATGGAATGAGGGCACCCGAAGGGGCACAGAGAGACGGAGCAGCCGGGGACAGCGGAGATCCCACGATAACATCGTGCCATGCGAAGCCGACGGGCAGCGCGGAGCCACACCGCCACCGCGCAGCCGGTAGGGATGAGCCGCGGCCCCTCAGCCCGCCGTGGGGTCCCAGCGCACCGTCCCTCCGCCGCCGCCGCCCGGGACCGTGCCCGCGGCGCTGCCGCCGCTCACCTTTGTTGGAGGCGCTGCCGGGCAGCGCGGCGTAGAGGCAGAGGAGAGGCAGGAGGACGGCGGCGCGGTGCCGGGGGAAGCCCATCGCGGCGATGGGTCCCAGCCCGCCCGGGGCTGCTGGACAGCGGCGGGCGCTGCCCGGCCCGGCCCGGCCACGGCCTCGCTCCCGCGGCGGCGGCGGCGCGCAGGGACGGAGCGGTACCTCCGCGAGCCCCGCTCCGCTCCACGCCCGGCCCCGCCCCGGCACTGCAGCATGACGTCACGGGCGCGGCGGGGGCCGGCGGGGGTCGGCAGCCAATGCGAGGGGCCGCCGCGCCAGGTGCGGCGGTGCGGTGCGGTGCGGTGCTGTGCGGTGCTGTGCTGTGCTGTGCTGTGCGGTGCGGTGCGGTGCGGTGCTGTGCTGTGCGGTGCTGTGCTGTGCGGTGCGGTGCTGTGCTGTGCTGTGCTGTGCTGTGCTGTGCGGTGCTGTGCTGTGCTGTGCTGTGCGGTGCGGTGCTGTGCTGTGCGGTGGTGCGGTGCGGTGCGGTACTGTGCTGTGCTGTGCTGTGCTGTGCGGTGCGGTGCTGTGCTGTGCTGTGCTGTGCTGTGCGGTGCGGTGCGGTGCGGTGCTGTGCTGTGCTGTGCTGTGCGGTGCGGTGCGGTGCGGTGCGGTGCTGTGCTGTGCTGTGCTGTGCGGTGCGGTGCGGTGCGGTGCTGTGCGGTGCTGTGCTGTGCGGTGCGGTGCGGTGCTGTGCTGTGCTGTGCTGTGCTGTGCGGTGCTGTGCTGTGCTGTGCTGTGCGGTGCTGTGCTGTGCTGTGCTGTGCGGTGCGGTGCTGTGCTGTGCGGTGGTGCGGTGCGGTGCGGTACTGTGCTGTGCTGTGCTGTGCTGTGCGGTGCGGTGCTGTGCTGTGCTGTGCGGGCCGCTACCCCCCCTGTCACCGCAATCCGGCCAGGGCACGGACAGGGGCGAGGGCTGGCGGAGGGGTTGGAGGGGGACTTCAAAACCGGCGCCCGGTGCGTTTCCCCGGGAAGCATCTCGCAGTGCTGGGAGACGCGGGAGTAGCAGGCGGGAAGGGGGGCGTGAAGATCGGAGGGGGGGGCGGGGGAGGTGCCGCGGCGAAGGGCTGCAGGCAGCATACGGACTGTACCGCCCATTCGCACCGGGCTCCGCGATGGGCTGGGGAGAGAGGGTGCCGAGACGCTGCTCTGAGGAAGCTCGCAGCTAACCCGTGTCACGGTGCGAGGAGCGGCAGGCTGCGGGGAAGAGTTGCCGCTGGTCGGTAGCCAAGAGTTTAACATCAGCAGCCCCCAGGGAGGGCGGAGAGTGAGGAGGTGACGGCCGCTCTCACGTCCTGCCCAGCCGAGGCGGAGATGCTGGCAGCAGGGGCAGTCCCAGCCTTTTCCGCGCCCCCCGGCGAAGGGACTCTTACTGCAGCGGGGAGCCCGGGGGCCGGGCAGCCCCGCAGCCCTCGCCACACCGCGGGAGGGTAAACCGGCCCGCCCGGCGAGCCTGCTGGCTGCCCGCTCGGTACCTGTCTCGCTCCTTGCTGTTTCCTCCTCTCCGTCGGCCCTGTCTTTCTGCCCCGGGATGCCGCCCAACCTCACCGGCTATTACCGCTTCGTCTCCCAGGAGAACATGGACAATTACCTGCGCGCTTTAGGTAACATCACTCTCCTCATCCCTCTCTTTTCTCTCCCTTTGCTCTTTTCTGCCCCTAAAGAAAAAAAAGTCACAAGTCATGGAAGGGGTTTAGGAACCCCCTGGTCCTTCTGTCTGTGCCCATCGCTTTTGTGCTGTGGTGGGCTGAGGGAGGAGATACCATGGCTGTGGCTCCCTGGCTAACAGAGTGGAGTTCTGCAAGGATGCTGCTAGATGAGGGGCCCAGGTCGTCTACAGATCTCCCCTCCCTCCCTCTCATTCCCCAGATATCAATGTGATCTTGCGAAAAGTGGTTTGCCTTTTGAAGCCCGATAAAGAGATTATCCACACGGGGGATCACATGGTCATCCGCACGATCACTTCCCTGCGAGACTATGTTATGGATTTTGACCTGGGAGTCCAGTTCGAGGAAGACCTGGGACCTGTGGATGGACGCAAGTGCCAGGTGAGAAGCCCAAGCTGTGCAGTTTAGCAGCAGACTGGGATGCACTAGAAGGTCAGGTACCCGCCCAGCTTTTGATTCATGACTCAGGTGAGAGTCCAGCCCAGAGTTGTCATGCCCATGCAGGTCCAGGAAGTTCTATGAGTACCTCACTAACACCAAACAGCCAGAAACCCAGTTCTCTGGGACCCAGAGGCTATTATCCTCTGGAGCAGAGCCCTGAAAAGAAAGAACATCAGCCTGCTTGGCAGTACTCTCTTGCACTTGGAAGCCCGAGGGTCATTCACCTCCCGCAAAGAGCATCAGTCCCAAGGAGCCACTGAAGAGACACCAGATGAGGAACTGCATTTGTAAATGTGTGAGAGGAACTGCCAGTGTCATCACTGGGAACCTGGATTGCCAGGACCTGCTTCCCTTGGGACCATGTCTTCCCCCTATTTTCTCTTTTTCAGACAACTGTCTCCTGGGAGGGGGATCAGCTGGTGTGTGAGCAGCTGGGAGAGAAGAGGAACCGAGGATGGAGGCACTGGCTGGAGGGGGACCAGCTGCATCTGGTGAGGAGGGGTCCAGCACAGCCCTCTAAATCCCAGTGGCAGCGGACAGGGGACACGCAGAGCGGGGCTCTGAACTCTGAGGCATGCAGCTTCCTTCCAGCTCCCTTCAGACTCTAGCCCCGGCTCCTCGGGGGGCAGAGTCCACTACACACAAACATCCGGCTCCAGTTAAGGAGGCTCGGGAAAGGCGACGGCCCTTCCCTGCCCCGCGGCTTGACCCCTGGGGCTTTGGGAGGGGTGTGCAGAAGCATGTGGCCGGAGGGCGGGCAGGGCGGCAGCTGGCGAGGGAAGCGAGTCGGGGATCCAGCCTCAACTCCTCTTTCGCCTCCCTTTCCTAGCGCATGACCGCTGAAGACGAGGTGTGTGTCCAGGTTTTCCAGAAGGTGAAGTGAGCGCTCCGCCGAGGGATGCCCCGCATTGACAAAACAAACAATGCCCGAGGGAGCCAAGCTCCCCCGTAGCAGCCTCCTTGTTTTCTAACGCCTCGTCTCTCGCCCAGCAGCGGCCGGGGCGGCGGCAGGGCGGGACGGGACGGGACGGGACGGGACGGGACGGGACGGGGGTCACCGCGAGGCCGGGCCTGCGGGCAGCAGGAGGCGGTGAGAGGAGGCGGCCGCGGTGGGCCGGGGCGGGAGGGCGATGGGCTCCGGCTGCACGGAAGCTCCTTTCAGAATAAGAGTATTTGGGGAGTAGTAGTGGTGCCGGGGCTGCCCCACGGCCGGGCCCCCGCAACCCCCGGCACCAGGGGAAGCAAGAGGTGATGCCCAAATGGGAAAGGGTGGCTGAGGCTGCCCCTCCTGCAGCCGCCAACACCAGCCACCTTCTCCTGGCCTCTGGGGTGCCACATTCTTCTCAGGATGCTGGCACCCTCAGGCAGAATGGGTTGAAAACAAAACGATCAAAGATTTTTGTGTATCGTGTGAAATCGGAGGGTTGGGACAAGGGAACTGAGCTCCTCAGAAGGTTCCGAGGGTGAGAAAAGCTTAGCCTCTCCTCCTCGTATACAAGATGATGGCCAGCTCCAGTCCCAGCTCTCCTGGCGTTCTTGGCAGCCATTCCCCATGGCCATCATAGTTCCCCTGGTTCACAGATCCTCCCTACAATCGGAGACCAAGCAACAGAACAGGCAGTGAGGTCCCCTAAAAACCCAGACCAGTGCCGAGGAGGTGTCCTTTAGTGAAGACATCTGATGTGCATGAGCCCATAGGCAGTTACTTCCAAAGGATGCTTGTGTTTGTCCCCTGGAAAATGAATGAAGGGCAGGGTATGCAGAAATGTGTCACTACAGACATCACCAGGATCAAGAGGTAGGCAGATGTTGAAAATACAGGCCCTTTTCACAAGAGCCAGGTTGGATGGGGCTTGAAGCAACCTGGTATTCTGGAAGGTGTACCCAGCAAGCAATCATAGCCGTGTCATCCAGCCTGTCATTTATCTGCTTTATGCAGACATCTATAACCCCATCATTCCTTCTATCGCAAGGAGCCTTTTTTGTATCACAAGGTTGAAAGGGCAGAGGTTTGACTGACAGTAGCTGAAGCTGATTCAACGGTTGCCCTCTTTATACTCCTCCATACAGTAAGAGTCCATCTGAGCTGTTTCTGACCCCAACACCAAGCTGGCTTCACCATATCCAGACTGATATCTTCAGGAAGTATCTGGTTGGACCAGAACCATAGATAAGAATCATACCCCCTTGATGTGGTCCACACTCATAGTAATCATAAGGGATAGTATTCCAGCCTATTCTAGGGCTTCAGTTAGTAGCTACCAGCACTGTTAATTTAATCATGATATGGGTATGATGCCTAAGTCAGATGGTGACTTTGCACAACAGTACTATGTCACTGAGACACGAGCCTGTGGGATGTGACGATGCATAAGGCAGGGGAAAGGGTGTGATATTGGGAGGACATTGTCTCATGGCTTCTGAGGTTGTAGAGCAGGTTTCTTTCCAATGGCCTCCTGCAACAACTGTATTCAAAGCAGGAGTCTCCATCAGAGGGTATGGGCATCTTTGGCTGTGCTGAAGATCTACAGTTTCTTTACTTTGCTCTGATACTGTCTGGATTTACTGTCCAGTCCTCTCACAACCCAGCTGAGCGAAGCAGGCAGCAAAGAGGTGCTAGTTTTGGCACATTCCCCGGTTCTACAGGTATTCTGCTCTCTAGCAAAGTAAGGCACAGACACACTCTAGAGGAGAAAAAAGGTATCAGGTATTTCCTGGCTCTGATGTGACACAGAGGGCTGCACAGAACATCTGCAGCGGAACACCACCAGTGGGAGCACTGGAGCAGGACTGAGGACACAGCTGTATTATCCAGATCAGGTCTATGGGACATGTATCAGAGGAGGGCTGCTCTAGTACGGCACATCCCCAGCTAACCACCCTTGTTTCACCAACTGACGGTCTCTCCTAGCAGCCCAGACGGTGCTGTCGGGGCGGGGGGAGGAAATGAAGGCACGGGAATTGTGCCATGAAAGTGCCACGGGGAGCTCCCAGTAGTGCCCCCCTGGATAGGAGATTCCTTGTCAAGAGCACACTGAAATGATCAGCTTCCTTACAAATGATCCTCATTCGTTTCTGTGAATCCATGTTTCCCCAGGAAACACTCTGTTCATAACAGATCTCCCAAACAGTCATTCCCAGTGCTTGCCACCTACTTTGCAGATGTGATTTTCGAGTAAAAGCTTTCCTTCTGGTGGTACAGAGAGCCAGCTGAACCTGCTCCAGCACAGCAAAGCACAGCGGTGAGCCTGCCCAAGTCTGTTCATCATGCAGAAGAGATATCTGGACATCAGGAAGTACTGGGCTAATGTCCCCCACTTCATCTTAATTCTGATGTGTGGGGCCATATGGTGTTATTACAGAGGCACCAATTGCTTGTTGATGTGATCTTTTCCAGGTAATAATTCAAAGATGCTCAATAAGCAGGTTCTCTAGTACACTGCCATAAACATCCCAAAGATGATGTCTGCATTCTTTTTAACACTATTTTCATCTTCATTCAACATGTTTTGTGTAGCTATGAATTATTTCCCATGATTTCAATGCAAGAAACTTACTTATTTCTCTGAAGCCACCCATAATTCTAAAAAGAAAACACTAAAATGGTGGGTTTACGTCTTACACCGAAGTCTGAAGCTAAGGCATTTTAAACTTCCCGAAGCTGGTGGCACACAATATATCTTGGGCACTATGTTGATAAAAGCCTGAAATGTGTTTGCAAGTTGCTGTTTTTATCTGATTTCCCCATTGAATACTGAAGGCCTTATCTATCTACCTTGTTTCTCCTAAAAATGCTTGCAGAAGGAAGAGCAAGAAGGTTCCTTGGAAAGGGACTTGTTCTCAGAAGTCTTAATTATAGGATCCCAGACTGGTTTGTGCTGGAAGGCAGCTTAAAGCTCATCCAGTTCCAGTCCCCTGCCACAGGCAGGGACACCTTCCACTAGAGCAGGTTGCTCCAAGCCCTGTCCAACCTGGCCTTGAACACTGCCAGGGATGGGGCAGCCACAGCTTCTCTGGGCACCCTGTGCCAGCGCCTCAGCACCCTCACAGGGAAAAATTATTTCCTAATGTCTAACCCAAATCTCCCCTCTGTCAGCTTAAAGGTTTATTCATTTCCATAATACCCATCTCAAATGTCTGAGGTTTCTGGATTTCCATGAAGAAGCTCCCGGTTCCCATCACAAAAAGCCTCTGCAGTGCTCCTCAGCAAGCCAGGACAGAGAAAACTTGACCTTAATGAATTTGTTAAGACTAAACCTCCTGGTCTCCTGCACCACAGAACTTCCCAGAAGGAGCGGAGGGGAGGGACACACTTCCCAGGCGGGTCATCTCTCCTGGGGAGCAAACTCCGAGCAGCTGCCGGTTTGGAGACCGAACCTCGGAAGGGTTTTTAGCAATTGTTCTTCCTCCTCGTCGCCCAGGAGCGGCACATCGGGACGTGACAGCTCCGCAAGCGCCCCGCGGAGCCGGTGTGCGCGGGCAGAGCGCTGGGCAGCAGGGGGCAGCAGGTCCCGGGCTGTTCGCGGCAGGGCTCGCTCTGCCCTCTCTCCGCCTCTTCGCACCGCCCGCGCCGGCTTCCCGCTGACCGCCGCTGCGGAGCTCCGGCCGGGGCCGCGGGCAGGACGAGCGGGGAGCGCGCACGGCCGGCGAGCGCATGGACGTGTGAGTGGGGGCATCTGGGGACGGGGGAAGCACGGCCGCTTCTTTGCGGGGAGGAAACGGGGGCTTGGACCCTTCCAGGAAGGAGGAGAGGGCGGTGGGACTGAGCTGGCACTCACTGTCCCTCCATGAAAGCTTTGCTAGAACCTATGTAGGGTCGAGGAAGAAGGATCTTCCTGGCTGATGTCTTTCGTAAGATCTGGGCAGTGAGCGTGTTTTGGAGGGACACTGATAGTCCCATTCCCCAGAGAGGGAGAGGGGAGATGTGCAGGATGGGAAAGAAAATGAGTCCCAACTGTTAAGAGAGATGGAGGCATGGCTGAGTAGCGGGCGGCTCAGGAGGCACTGCAGGATCGCTCCTCAGCAAACAGAGCTTGAGATCTTCAGATCCTTACCAAACGCATGGGGCAAAGATCCTAAACCAGCAACAGCCAGAAACGACCCACTGGCCCAGAGCCCCAGGGAACCAAACCTCCCATGGTTCTATGGGACCCAGCGCATGACTGCTCAGGGAATTCGGCTGTGCTCCTTCAAACTGCTTCCTGGGTTGATGAATCTTTTTGGCTGGGTGACACAATGGCTTGCTGGAGCCTGGGTAGTGCTGGTGTCTTCATTTCAGCTTGTCCTCCTTGTTCCCGAGTGACCCAAGTCAGGAGCTGGACTTGCAGCTGGGCCTCCCATGTTTGGATTCCATTAGACAGTGCACGAGTCACCTGTGAAGTCTCCCCTGATGCTGGATGACCTAATTCTGTGCAGTGTCATAGTTTTCTTGCCATGTTCACAGGCACATTCCTTTTCTCCTGTGGGCCTTCCTGTTTCTTGAAGTGATCAGTTCCAGTCCATTCCCAGCAAAGCTTTTTGGGGAGATCAGATCCCCCGATTATCCCAAGCCATATCCCAACAACAACATCAGCATCTGGAATATCCACGTCCCAAAAGGATATGTGGTGAAGCTGACCTTCAGATATTTTGACCTGGAGCCATCCGAGTCCTGCTTCTATGACTATGTTAAGGTATGTGCACAGGTACCTGGACCAAGGGGTGGCTGGAGATGGGAATCTGGTGGCCACCACACACAATGGGTCTTCACTCACCAGAGCTCCTCTCATGCTTCCCACAAAGGAAAGGGAAGGAATTAAAGATAGAAATGGGTGGAGCAGGTACTGGCAGCTCATGGCTGGGTAATAGTGATGCTTGGAGCAGACTGAATCTTACGAGATTACAGTAATTTCCCCTTAACCTTGACAGATCAAAGCAGACAAGAAGGACTTGGGCCGATACTGTGGCCAGCTTGGGTCAACCACAGGCAATCACCCAGGAAGAAAGGAGTTTGTATCTAAGGGGAACAGGATGCATCTGGCATTTCATTCGGATTTCTCCAATGAAGACAATGGCACAGTGATTCCCTACAAGGGCTTCCTGGCCTATTACCAAGCTGTGGGTAAGTAGGCAAGTACCCTCAGCATGCAGAAAGAAGCCTGTGTGGCTCCAACCAGTTTTGCTCCCTGTCAGGCAAATAAAGAGAAGCCGTAAGCAAGGATGTGGATCTCTGTACTTTCAGTGTACAGCAGAGACGTTTAACACTTTCCTCCCCCTGTCCCTGCATCTCCCGTGTCTTCAGATCTTAATGAATGTGACCCTAACAATGCTGCTGAGAAAGATGAAAGGCCTCAGTGCCAGCACTTCTGCCACAACTACGTGGGTGGCTACTTCTGTTCCTGCCGGCCTGGCTACCAGCTTCAGAGTGACCGCCACTCCTGCAGAGGTAAACTGAAACGCTGAAAGATCAGAGGGTTCCAGGGAAGCAACCAGGAGGGGTGGGAGAATTACCTTAGGGAGCATTGACAGGGCTGCAGAACACACAGCTCCACAATGTGACCTCTGCTTTCTTCCTTGACACCAGTGGAGTGCAGCAGTGAGTTGTTCACAGAGGCAGCTGGGTACCTGAGCAGCCCTGAGTACCCCCAGCCCTATCCTGAAGACCTCAGGTGTAACTACAGCATCCGCCTGGAAAAGGGCTTGTCCATCATCCTGAAGTTCTTGGAACCTTTTGAGATTGATGACCACCAGCAAGTCCACTGTCCTTATGACCAGCTCAAGGTACTGGAGATTGGCAAACTCTACTTCCAACCCCCCTGCCAGTCCTGGACAGGAATTGTTTGGACACCACTATTTGAATGAGAAATAGCACAAGGAGAATGTTCCCAGCATGAATCATGGAATCCCAGACTGGTTTGTGTTGGAAGGGAGCTTAAAGCTCATACAGTTCCAACCCCCTGCCATGGGCAGGGACAACTTCCATTAGACCAGCTTGCTCCAAGCCCTGTCCAGCCTGGCCTTGAACACTGCCAGGGATGGGGCAGCCACAGCTTCTCTGGGCACCCTGTGCCAGCGCCTCAGCACCCTCACAGGGAAGAGCTTCTGCCTAAGAGCTCATCTCAGTCTCCCCTCTGTCAGGTTAAAGCCATTCCCCTTGTCCTGTCCCTACTTCCCCTTGCAAAAAGCCCCTCTCCAGGTTTCTTACAGACCCCTTATGATACTGGAAAGCTGCTTTAAGGTCTCCATGACAGGAAGGAAGGATCGATGTCTTCCCTTGTCCCTCCCTCAGTGCTAAATTGTCATTGTCCTGAGGTTAGAGGCTCTGGGTCACAGGCCCCTACGAGTGGAGCCAGAAAAGTAATCCCTCTTCCAGTTTTATCTCCCTTTGTTTTAATCTCAGGGTTTGAAAGCCTTGATAGCTCAGATTCTCATGGTAAGGGAGAAGCAGGTCTTGTGGTAGGTCAGCCCTTTGTTCTGATCTGTCACTGTCAAACTTGATCTCTATTGCAATAGGGCTGCTGGAGCATGTGTGTTTCTGTCCTTGTCATACATGTTTTCCTCATCAGATCCAAGCACGGGGGAGAGAAATTGGTGAATTCTGTGGCAAGGAGTCACCCGGTAGCATTGAAACCAACAGCAATGAGGTGGACATACTCTTCCTCACTGATGAGTCAGGGTTCAGCCGTGGCTGGAAGATCCACTACACCTCAGAGAGTAAGGCATTCCTTCCCAGAGGCTACTACAGCCCCTCTGCAGCATTTGTTAATACTCGCATCCTTTGTCCCATTCTCCGTCAGAAATACGGTGCCCACAGCCTGTCCCGCAGGATCAGTTTACCATCATCAGAGACCTGCAGCCTCTCTATCAATTTCAGGACTATTTCATTGTCAGCTGCAAGACTGGGTATAACCTGATGAAGGTGAGATCCCTTCTCCACTCCCTTCAGCCCTATTCTGGCTTCTGCTCAGTTTGTGTAACATTTTCCCTTTCAGTAAAGCTTTCTTCGGAGATGATTTCACTCGTGGCAATCTCTTGCAATTTCAGTTTCTTCCTTGCTTCTATCCACTTTCTTCCAGAGATTTCTCCTTCCCTAGCTCCCTTCCTTATGCAGTTACTGTTTCACAAAGCCCTGTCTTAAGATGAGAGACAAAGATCCCAGGAAACATTGGCAAGCAAGAATACCTCTTTTGGAGGATGTGAAATCAGCCTTGAAGCAGAAGAGGTTACCTGCCTCCCTTGCCATCTATTGCCAGGACTGAGTAGTGCCCAGACTTGTCATGTTTTCATGGCTGCTGGTATCTTTGCCAGTTTCAAAGAACGTGTAGCCTGTGGCAAACACAGGATAGAGAGAAGGCAGAAAAGGGAGGGGACCGGAACAGGCTGCAGAAGGCAGCCATTGGACAGCAGTGAAAAGATGGCAAGATAGAATAACACTGTAATGTTGGGAAGGGAATGTAAGGCCGTAACATCAACAGAGATGTTTTTCTCTCCCACACAGGGCAACCAAAAGCTGCTGTCCTTCACGGCTGTCTGCCAGGCTGATGGGACATGGCATCAATCCATGCCCCACTGTGAAAGTGAGTGAGCTGAGAATGGGGATTATGCCCCCTGCTGTGGTTTTTCAGCCTCTATGACTCAATTTGTCTGTGGCCATACACTCATGGATGTGCCGGTTGAAAGGACCTGTGGGGGTCCACTGTTGCCTTGCATTATATTTTTACTCTTGCAATAACAGGAATGTTACAAACCCTTACAAACCCACATAAAATATCACCCCAAAAACTGCTATAATGTTGTAACATCTAAAAGCAAAAGCTCCAGTCCTGGGATTTTGGAACACACTCTCTCTGCCCGCTGTACTAACTGGTCCTTCACATCCAGGCCACAATCCTAGTGGAGCCTTACAGTGTCTTAGATTCAGCTCTTGCTTTCTTTTCCTTTTCTGTAGTTGTGAACTGTGGCAACCCCCCAGCTCTGACCAACGGGGCATTCAGCTATGCTAACAAACCTGCAGACAACAGCTACCAGGCAGTGATCAGGTACCGATGCAATGAGCCGTATTACCACATGGTCACCGGACCAGGCGGTGGTAAGTCCTAATCTCATACAGACACTGAAGTCTGTGCATGAAAAGCCCACTCAGGGTTTCCAGTTAGAATTGTCTGTGCTCCCCAGGCTTACAGCTCATGCTTTCCTCCTGTGAAGGCTCGCCAGGCTTTCTTTGGCTCTGCAACATAGCTCCTGAGGCTTGTTCTTTCGGCCTATTCCCAGCTTGCTTCATTCCCAGATTTAGAATCACTGAATGGTTTGGGTTGGAAAGGACGTTAAGATCATCCAGTTCCAACACCCTGCCATGGGCAGGGACACCTCACACTACACCATGTCACCCAAGACTCCATCCAGCCTGGCCCTGGACTCTGCCAGGGAGGGAGCATTCACCTCTTCCCTGGGCAACACATTCCAGTGCCTCACCACCCTCACAGTAAAGAACTTCATCACATCCCTACTCCATGCTCTCCTTAACTTTTGCAGAAGGTCTTATTCTTTCATCCATAATCATGATTTATTCTTCTCGAGTGTATTTCATTCTTTCACTGGAATTTGAGGCATAAGTGTCTGGGAATCACCCAAACTCTGAAATCTCAGCACAGCAGTCCCAGTTGCTACAAATATGCAAAGACACTCTCATATGCTTTCTTTTTGTACTCAAGACATGATTTGATGACACGGGAGCTTTGGTTACAAAAGCAGTATAAGAAGTTCATGATCTCCTTGCCTTGTCTGTTCATTTAAGCCTTCACACACACAAAAAAAATAGGTTTTGAAGCTGAACCAGTTCCTGGATATGATTGCCTGAACATCCAGTGGTGCAGCATACATGAGAGGTGACGTGCTAGCACTGGGCCAGGAGCAAGCAGCTAAGGAGTTCTTTAAGTTGCTACTGATGCTGAATTCGACTGTTCTTGCATCTGAGTTTAACTCTTTCATAAAGAGATAGAGCTCAGTCTCATCAGAAAAGAAGCACAAGCCCAGGAGCAAGTAAATGTCAGCACCAGCTAATTCTGATAGGGAGTCATCACGGTACAGTCAGTTTAGAAAGGGAACAGCAAACAGTTTCTTGGAAGCATTTACTGCAGTGTAAGATAAAAAGAATAGAAATTATTTTTAGTCACCAGCACGACCTTTCTAAGAAAAGCGAATGTTGGAGGTAGTGGAATTTGTGTTGAGAGGTGGCATGAGAGTTAGCTGACCTGCGGTATAGCCTCAGGGATAGATACTCAGCATGTGCAGTAACTGACTCATCGTTTTGCTGTCTCTGGAACAAACCACTTTGTTCTACTCTCTGCAACCTACAGATACCAGAAACTTGAATCTAAAATGTGTGTCTACTTCTCTCCCTCCTTTGGGCTAAATAAGGTCAAATTGTGCTCTGTAAGCGTATGGACTGAGTAAAGGTAAAACCCCACTGAGATGTCTCTTCAGACTTTTATTCTACAGAAGCAGTGCTGAGCTTTATGGGTCCCCTGAAGCTGAGGTGCTTTGAAATGTACATGTTAACCCAGACAGATGGGAATAGTAGCTTCTTCTGGGAAAGGGTGCTTTGGGGTGGAAAGGCTGAGTACAATATGTGGGATACCTTGGAGAGAGAAACCTCTTAAAAATTGTCCTATCCTATCCTATCCTATCCTATCCTTCCTTCCCACTCCACTTCTGCAGACCCGAGTCTCATTCATTTCCCCCTCATCCTGCAGAGAACTTCACCTGCTCTCCTGAGGGAACCTGGGTGGATGGAGATGGCCGGGTGAGGATCCCTGCCTGCTTGCCAGGTCAGTAAAGAACTGACTTTGTCTGGTGTTTACCAATTCATGGTTACTGTCAGCACAAAGCCAGGACAACGTGCAGGGAGGGGATTGAGGATAACGGTATTAGTGAGGGAGGACAGAGAAATCTATCCAGGGAGGCAAACTAAAGTGAAGTCAAACAGTGATGGTGTAGGAGAGAGAGAGACAAGCCAGGGCTGCAGAGGGCATCATGATCTCCTTGCATGTCTCTGCAGTGTGTGGGAAGCCAGTCCATCCTGTCACTGAAGTGCAGCGCATCTTGGGCGGCAAGGCAGCAAGGAGAGGCAGCTTCCCTTGGCAGGCTCTGACTGGCATCCATGGCCGAGGAGGGGGAGCACTCCTGGGTGACCGCTGGATCCTGACCGCTGCCCACACCATCTTCCCCAAAGGGGCTATAGGGAAGAATGCCAGCCTGGATGAGCTAGCAGAGAAGGCTAACATCTTCCTTGGCCACACCAGTGTAGAAGAGCTCTACAAGATGGGTAACCACCCTGTACGCAGGATCTTTATCCATCCAGATTACAACCCTAAAGATGATCACAACTTCGATGGGGACATAGCCCTGCTGGAGCTGAAACACCCAGTAACCTTGGGCCCTACAGTTCTTCCCATCTGTCTCCCAGATGCTACCAACACCACATTCTACATGGATGGGCACATGGGCTATGTGAGTGGCTTTGGTGTGGAAAAATACTTTATCTCAAATCATTTGAAGTATGTAAGCCTACCAGCGGTTGCTCGAGAGAAGTGTCAGAGTTGGCTGGACAGTAAGAAGAGTGATGTACCTATGGTTTTCTCTGAGAACATGTTCTGTGCTGGCTTCCTCACAGTCAAACAGGATACCTGCCAGGGGGATAGTGGGAGTGTCCTCACTGCGTTAGACACAGAAAGTGGTCGCTGGGTGGCTACTGGTATTGTTTCTTGGGGTATTGGCTGTGCCGAAGGTTATGGCTTCTACACCAAGATCATCAACTATCTGGACTGGATCAAAGGGATAGTAAAGGAGGATAAGCTCTAGATGTTGCTGCCCTACTCGCTGAAGAATCACTGCTAGCATATAAATTTCCAGACACAGCAGATCATAGTTAAAGCTTCTGATGATGTCCCAAAGGCTTTTCAAATATGCAGACCACGTAACCTTCATCATAAACACTTCTGAAAGCCACCATGATGAATTCTTAGTGGTACCATCAAAACTTACCAAAGCTTCTATACTATTGGCAGCTTGTCGGACACCTCTGTGGATGTTCTAGTTCTTCCAAATGAAGCTTCAATAATATCAGGAGATCTCACGAGAGCAAACATGTTATTGTTTGAAGTGCTGATATCATCAGACTACTGCAGTCTACTTTTGTACTCTATTGTGTGGGAAGGTTGCAGGAGAGCAGACTTTGTTGAAGGATGTGGTACTTTGTGCTATGTACAGTCTGCCTATGTACACTGGCATCAGTGAGAGTCTACAAATATTAAAATCACTGCTGGAGAAATCATGTGTGTTATGGTTTTTCTGTCTTTAACAAGTACTAAATATTCCCCATCACCAAAAGCAACTTATGAGCTTTACCTACTGTTCTGCAACAGCACATGGCAGTTGTTCCCCTGTCACAAAACCACCATTAGATTACCCAGTCTGAAACACCACGTGGCTTCAAGAGATGCAAAAATAAGTTGTCTGTGTGGTGCCATATTCAAAAGAGATGGAAGACAACAACTAGTATCATGGAGAAAAGAGCCCAGGAACCTTTACTGATGAGAATTCGAGGATTGGGTTTTCTTATACTATATGAAATAAAGCTCTGACTGCCCAAGAGCAGCTCTAAACTGATGCTGACTCAGAGAGATGACTCCTCTTGTTTTGTAGGTAGTCTCTGGAGTTGTCTTGACTAGTTTTGCTACTACAGAACAACCTACATTCTTATTGTGAGTCACTGAGAGAACTGAGAGCTCACAGAGAAACTCTGGCACTAAGGTCATAGTTGCCTTCTCTCACTGTTTTCTGTGAGATCCATCTCCAGATCTTCTCAGGTGTATCTCTTTTGCTTTTGAGATAATATACCCTGGGGAGGGACCTGTGAAACTGCACATCTGAGATAAGCTCATTCGTGATCTCCAAGATCATGATTTTTCCCATTTGAGCAAGAGGAGATCCTGAGAGGCAAGGAGACCATGGAAAAACAAAGTGTCCCATTCTACAGGAGCAATGGATAAAACCTGGCCTAGGGGAGGGAAGGGAGAATGAGGCACTATGCAACTAGGCACTATTCCCTGTGAAGAACAGGGAATTTCTGGGATGCCCATGAGTACAGGCGACAAGAACAACAAAATACCCAACTCTTCAGTCCCTGTGTAAGTTGGAGAAGCCATCTTAAAGAATATCCTGCTTTGCAGGAACCTGGGAACCTTTCGGAGAACCAGTGAGTTGCCAAAAATTCCTTTAACTCTCCTAGGAATAGCAATCCCAGCTAAATCAGTATCTTTCCTGTCACCTATTCCTGGACCATTCAGCCACGTTTCTAGTCCTCTTTTCTGCTGTCCTGCATTGATTTCAGCACTTTGTCTTCCTCTCCTTTTGCAGAAAGGTTGAAGTTAATCAGCGAGTAACCAAGAGTCACTGCTGGCTTGAGTGGCTTTGTGCTCATAGAAGCTAAGGGAATGTCTTACCTTAGTGTGAAGGTCACGTTTTCCAGAACTGAAAATGTGTTCCTTTTGCTCAACTTGTACTTTGTTGAGATATTTCCACTGCTGACGTATCCATCACATACCAAAGCAGAAGGTTCCTGACATCCAGCCATAGCAATCTGTAAGATTTCCAGTGGCTTTTGCTCATGATAATCCCAGAGGTTTGGGCATGTCTGTGTCATTTATGCCATGCTAAGACATACTGTGTAGTTATAAAATACTGTTACAATGGCACCACTGCCATTGTTATTCTTCCTTCCATTGACATTATTGTTGCTTTGCCAGTACACAGTCACCTCTTTGCACAAGAGGAACAGTGGCTAAGACTGCAGCCTGGACTAGTTACCTGGGATGGACGCTTCCTTTTGCTCTTCAAAAGGTGGTAGCTGAGATGAGTCCATCTACTTAGTAACAAGAAGGAATGATTATAAAACTTCATACAAGATTAAAGTTGGCACATGTAGATATAAAAGTAAAAAGCACTAAACATCCTGTGGGTCACAGGTCCTCAGGAACGTAGTATAAAATCCTTGGTCACTCCCCCAACAATGAAATAACCTATTGCTTGTTACACAAAGCTGAAGGTGCTTGAGCAGAGTGGTACCAGTTGCTCTGGTACTCTCTAGCCCTCCTTTAGTTATCTGAATATAGCAGTTAGATCCCACTCTTAGCTTCCTCCTTTTCCAGCTGAACAAACCCAGCTGCCCCTGTCTTTCACCATATGACATCTGCACTAGTTCTCTGACCATCTTAGTAGAAGGATATCTGTGAGTGATAAAAGACTTTCTGGAGCAGAAGACACCCATAACGCATGTCAGGTAACCTTGGCCCACAGCCTTCTCTAAACCAAGTGAGCTTTATTTCTTACCTAACACAATAATGTTTGAAAAATAAAGCCCTGAGGAGAGGTGAATGAAAGGATTTTGAAGATGTCTCATCTGCTCAGCTTGATTGAGAAGTCTGAAGCCCTCATTGCTGGTAATGACTGGTCAGTGAGATGCAACCATCTCAAAAGAACTTCATAGAGACTCTTGGGTAAAGAGGTGAGGTAGCACAAGTTACAGCTTGACAAAAGCTGGCTGCATAATGTGTCAAAATGTGACTAGACACTTGATTTAGGGAGTTTCAAGGAGAATTAGGTCTACTCTGAGAACAAAGGCAATACACTCACAATAGAACATTGCACATAAGGCAGTTGGGACATTCTTTAATGCTGTTAGCTATTCCAAACAATACAGGAAATACATAAATCAGAAATCAGGCTCTGGACTTACTCTGGGAAACAACAGTTATTCTCTCTTGTCCTCTCTGAAATCTTCCTGTCAGGCGGCGGTATGGCTACATATTCTCCAAGTGTGACAAAATGGCATAGAAAAGAATGAGAGTAAGCAGAAGGAGCCTTTTTGCCTCAAATAGCATCTTCCTCTTACACTGCTGTGAGTGGAACAAAAAGCGTTTCCCTTCCCAGGCACAATGACAGCGGGAGAAAGAGATACATATCCCTGATTCTCCACTCAGCACATACAATGAGTAGGCCTGTCACCTATTGAGAGTGAGGAGGATCACAGCCAGCCTGAACATCATCATGTTTAGAAATGGTGACTGTGCTGAAAGGAGAAAGAGCTAATCCTGCCAAGTGCCTGCATTCTCATCCTTGCTCATGGTCTCTGTAATCCAGTCCAAATAACGTACTACCTTGGTGTAGAGACCAAAGGTACCACATCTTGGTCCCCAGGAGATCAGCCCGGCCACATAGTACTGTCTGTCATTAAGAGGATCTTGGACAGCATAGGCTCCACCGCTATCCCCCTTACAGCTGTCCTTGTCACCACCAGCACAGATCATGTTGTCAGTGAATCGGTACGCACTGGAATCAGCAGAGCCCTCTGGTTTCACAGATCGGCACTTATCCATGTCCACCACAGGAATCAGGGCCTTCCAAAGATAAATGGGCAGTCTTCCTCTTTCTCTTAGACCCCAGCCAGCAATGTAGCCCAGAGTCCCTTCTTGCAGCTCATACTCAGGTGATTTACCAGGAAGACAGAGGGGTGAGATGTTTGGGCCCATCTTCACGGGTTCCCTCAGCTTCAGCAGAGCAATATCATTATCAAAATCAGTCCTGGTTTCTGTGGGCTGCTTCTTCCAATCAGGATGGATGAATGAAGCCTCTGGGATCAGTTGCTTGGCCTCTCGGTACAGAGATTCTCCACCAACATTGATTACCCCAGCATACATGGTGGGCTTGTCATAACCGTCATCATAACCCTCCAGCAAATGAGCTGCAGTCATTACCCATCTCTCAGAGATGAGTACGCCACTTCCTCTTGGGTGACGAAAATACACCTGCCAGGGAAAGTTGCCCTTTTGTGCAAGGGTGCCTCCAAAAATCCTTGCTTTCTCTTCAATGGGATTACTAGGCACCCCACAGACTGAAAGGAAAAAGAGAGGAATCACATGGGAGAATCAGCAGTTCCAGTTAAGGGGTTCTTTGGTACTGTTAAAAAGCCCATAGTCCCCTCCTGCCTGTCTCCTCCAAGGAATGTTTGATTCTGAGTAACCAATGTTTATATTCAATGTCATAGAGCTCTAAACAAAGAGAAATTAAAGACAATTCAAGCAAAACTATGATCAACATTCAATTTAGTCTGAAAATACTAATTCTCATGTTCTTGCTTTGGAAAGCAGTTGTCACGCTGCCCATGTTGGGTACATCAAAGCTCACAATTTGATTGCATTCTAGGTAGCATTTTTCCTTTGCTGAATTATGCCCTGTAGGTGAAGGGATTGATTGACTTTGGATGATTTTGATACGTTTGGAGAAATATGACACTGCTCGTTAATATATATATATATATATAGTGTATGTATGTTGTGAAATCCAGATAGTCTCAGGTTAAGATGTCAGGTTTGTCACTGATGTTTTACCATTTCAACTCTCCACTCTTTTAGCATATAAAATCTTAAGCAGTGGCTTAATGGAGACCTTATCTGTGGGTCTTATGGGTGCAGAGATGCTACATATTCTTTGAGTAAAATGTTCTACAAGGTTCTGCAGCATGTGAACACAAACAGCATAAATAAGTCTGGTGATTTTGACATAGACAGGAAACTGATTTCTTATCACATGGCCTTGTTTGCATTGAACCCTTAGTCATACAGCAAGAGACTGAGTAGGTAGCTTCCAATTTAAATGAAGCAGAGTTTGATAAAGAATTTCATGCGATCACAGAAAGATATAGGCTGGAAGGTACCTCTCTATGCCTTTAGTTCAACCTGTTCATCTCTAACTGCCCTTCCCCCGTCTTCCTAACTGCAAAGCCAGGTTGCTCAGAGGCTTTGACAGGTGACTTCTGATCATCTCCACAGGTGGTGATTAGCCAGCCCCTCTGGCAACAGTTCCAGTAATCTGGGGGAGCATTATTCCTTAAATACAGTCAGAATTACCTTGGCTGCACCTTGTGCTCATTGCTTGTCACTGTCTTTCATTGCTATGTACACTGAGAAGAGTATGGCTTCGTATTCTTTTCTCCTCTTGGGTAGTAAATTCCCTGAGCTTTATGTTGCCATTTGTCTTTTGCACTGTGCACTATTATAGTCCAAGTCACTGGTTGAGCTGGCCCTTAAGAGGGTTGAATCATCTTCAGCTGGATCTTGTAGTTTGTCAAATAGGATTTGGGGGTTTGGAGCAGTGAACAAACATCATGTACAAGTAGCCCTAGGGATGTTGCCTCCTCCAAGTGGGTAAGCTGAACAGCATGCAGAATACATAGGATTTAAAATTTTCCCTCTCAGATGCAAGTTAAGATTC